TGACAGTAAATTTTCTACATTTCCTCTCATCAAAGTGCGATGGCGCAGATTTTTGTTAACGTCGCTAACGGGAGATACTGCAACAAAAACAAAGGCCATGCAAATAAGCAGAAAGGGAAAGACTGAAAATACAGATATGTAGAACACAACGCGGTGCGCAGCAAATGAGGGACCAAATGAAATTAGCGGTAGCTAGGATCCTAAAAAAGCAATTTTGCTTTCTCTTGCATCGCGACGCAGTGAGCGTCAAAAATTTGGTCTCAGCTTATTTCCCAAAAAACGTTCGTAGCATACACTACAATATGCAGTTCGCTACCCACGATTAGGCTATACATTATTTAAAAAAAGAAACAAAACTCTTGCATATTTTGTGGCGTCCACTTGCCATGAACCCGCAACAGCCTGTTGCAGAAACTTCGGTATAACTGCGCCCAATTTCTTATGCGCTTTTCTATTTCGTGACAGTGATGAAGAACAACCTGTCTCGGTGTAGGATTCGGATCCATCGAAGGCTGACCATATACTCCATACAACTGATTAATCTGTTTGGCCATTTGACTGATCTCGCTGCCATAATTCGAATGCTGGTCGAAATCGATTTGTTCCGGCCGAGGCAACGTACAGTAGCTCTGGTACCGTGATGGTACCATAGTGATACCTTCGCCAGCGCTAGCCGTACCTAAGGCATAAATTGTGGTAAGTTAGAATAGTTTAACTTCGGTGCACTTGCACTCTTCCACTTCCAAAAACAGTGGCCGAGCCTAGGCTTTTTGATCGAATATTTTCAGAAAACAGCTCGCTGAAAAGGAGCTTGTAACAAATAATGAAGTCACTCCACCAGTTAATTTTCGTTGATAATTTTATCCAAGAAAAAAAATTAATTTCATCAAACACCACGAATGCGAAGACAATTGGTGTGGGAATCCCAGGCCAGAGGAGTGATTAAAATGTTATCACAAGCCGGGTGGATTCCCCATCCATACGTCATTACCAACAGTATGATGACTTCGAAGAGATGAGCACGGTCTATATCCATTCTCCGGAAGGAAACTGTAGTGCAATCAAGACAGACGTAGCTGTCAACTTCATCCAAGCAAATACGTTATACATATGCCTATGTATTTTGCATAAATGTGTGTATATTTATTTGGCACCCTTAATTCCCAAATTCCAGAATGCCTAAGAATTTGTGGCTTTAATAAATTTCGCGGTTATGAATTTCAGCATCCA